CAAAATGTGTTAAATTGATGAATTTACGTGTGAATGTATTGAGTTGTGAATTAATCATATTTAGAATACTTTTTATTAGCAAACCCTAGAAATATTTATTTGAATATTGCTTAATTTCTCATGTATTAGTCTCATATATTTATTTGAATAATGATTAATTTCTCATGTATTAGAAAAATATACTCCATGTATTAGAAATTCGAGAGTAAGAATGTCGTCTAAACCTAGTTTTTTTGAAAAACAACTCCAACTTTACATAATTTTGTGTAATTATGTATTACTGATTTTCATTGTTACATAATTCAGTGCATAAAATAAAAATTACTCCGTTTGGTAACACTGAAATTGGTTGATTCGGTTGATTGTGCTGAAATTTATGAAGTTCTGGCTGAAGTGACTGGATTGGCTGATTCTGCTAATTCAGGAAAAAAATATATTTAAAATATTCTTTACCAATAAAGTAAAGAAAAATGATATGAAAAATAGCTAAAATTATCATCTGCACTAGCTTCAGCCAATACAACAAGAAAAATAACTTTAACCTTACATTTTCTTATTATTACACAACTCAGCGCTCGAAATGAAGAATTACGTGTTTGGTAGAAAATGGACTGATAAGCGTGATAAGGTGAAAAACAGAACAACCAAACGAGCTCTAAATATAAAAGCTTCAAACCGATTTTAAATCAAACTCAAGCTCAGAAAATTCCGAATAGCGCGTACTGCTAGATTCAACATTGACATGGTTTTACCGGTGGACGTAGCTCAACTGGTAGCAAGGGAGTGCCACAAGGGTTAGGTCCCAGGTTCAAATCACGTCAACTGCGATGAGGGGTTACTATGCTAAAAAAGCATAGGGCCTCTGCAAGTACCGGAGACAGAGTCTCACTATCTATCTGTCAGATTGGGATTATAGTCCAATTTACATCCTTCCAACGCACCGTCCGGTCGGGATTGAGGGGCTTCAGGGATGGGTGTCATCCTTTTAACATTGACACGGTTTGTACAAATATAATTGTGGAGCATTTGGACCCGGATAATAGAAACGACAACCCTTTGTTTTTAGGATCGAATAATGGAAGGTATTCCCTAAAATGAAGTACGTTGAACCGTTGAAGTGGACCAAGTGCCCCAGGTAGGCGGACACAAAAAAGAAGGGAGAGGTTTTAATGGAAATTAGGTTGCTTTTCGGGGTTTCCATAATACTCGCTGGATTACGGCTGGATTACACTAATTATATATGGTTGGTCCAAAAGGTTGAATGCCCAACCCCAAAGCCCCCACCCATCCCGACAGGATTGTGGGGAGATTAATCATGGTGACTCAGTCAGCAAAGCGGTGGTAGGCCTTATACACGTGCGCATCAGAGGTCCAACCTTATTTCAGGTTCTGTAACCTCCACACGGCCGCTGCGAATTTCAAACCTTGGTCACTTGATCCAATTTTCCCACCACTCGACCAACTGAGTTACCTCGTGCGGATATTAATTATATATGGTCTCCATCACAAATAGCGATCATTAGCACTGACTAAAAGAGGCAGTTTATTAGTGGCTTTATTCTGAATATTGGGAGAGTCGATAGTTATAAAGCGGATCTTTGGGAGTTTGGAGTCTGAGGCAAGGGCTTTTGTTGGCTTGGGATCTAGATTTGAATATGGGAGATTTCAGCAAGTAGGATTTAATCATACTAATTTTCCAAAATTAAGACTACAGATTAGCGTAAGACTTAAGTGCAGCTGCTTTGATAAAATTGCCCTTGCTTTTAAATTCTGTAGCAGACCACATCTGATCGGATTTCCTTTGAAACGCAAGCCTCACCTTCTCTTCTCACTCATTTTTAGCTTCACATATGACTCCAAAACGGAAAGCATCTCTGTCAGCTTCGGTTCGCGGCATAAGAGAGGGAGGCAGGTGGACCATCCAGAGTCGGTGGAGGAGCAGGGTTCCGGTGGAATCGAGGATCAATGACACTGTTCATTGAGAACTTGCAAACACCATACAATACATAGACAGAAGTTTCTTCTTCCTCCTCTTCCTCTTCTTCCTCATCATCATCATCATCGTCATCATCATCATCTTCTTCTTCTTCTTCTTCTTATTTTCTGATTTTGGACATTGTTTTTGCCAATTTCGAACTTCTATTTCATATTTTCACAAGGCCACCAGGTACTCTGCAAAACTTTTGAAGAAACCAGATCCAAAATCAAACTTGCAAACACTAGACAATATATAGACAACAATTAGTTAGTAAACATACAATAAGTTTTAACAATAGCTCAATAGTAGACAATACATAGACAATAAGTAGTCATTAAACAACAATAAGTTCTGATAATAGTTCAATAGCATAGCAGGTAACATAAAAATGGGAGAACATTGAACTTGACCTTGAATTTGAGAGAAAGGGGCTTATGAGAACGGCCGTGATTGCTGCGGAATTGATTTTTCGGCCTTTGTGTGTGTTTAGGGTTCCGGCGATGACGGGTGACGACCTCTCTGGCGGCGATGAACGGCGGAGAAAAGGATGATGGTGATCCTGCGGAAGAAGCGTGATGCTGAAGAAGAAGTGTGAGGGCCGAAGCGTGAGGGAGAAGATGCGCAAAAGTTTAGAGGCCGAAGTTGAAGGGTAAAATTGGAAGGAAAAAATAGAATTTCTTGAAATAGAATTAAATAAATTACACGGATGGGAAAACACATGACCAAGTCCTATTTTTGTAAACTTGCATTGATTTAGTCTTCAAAGAACAATTTTCTCTTTGGATAAAGTGATCGGTTGAATGGATTGAGAGAGTGTTATTAAAGCTCTGAAGCAAAGCGATGAAAAGCATACGAGTATGTTTGTCACAACTAGCTGAAAAGATACTTTTATGAGCTTTTTAGTAACCGTTAGCTTTTAGTGAACGAAAAATCTTAAAAATAAAAGGCAGTAGTTGTTTTGTAAAAAAACGATTGTTTGATTTAGCTCTATTTGGTATACAAGCTTTTAGAACTAATTAATGTTAGAAGCTACAGACTTATCTGAGATGCTACTCATTGTAGCATAACAAAAAAGATCTTTTATTTTTATAAAAGCTCTTAAAATTGGCGTGTCAAACATACAACAAGAAACTTTTAAATACTTTTTAAATAGTACAAAAGCGAGAAGGCAGGAACTTATGCCCGCCAAACATAGCCTACTACTATGGGAGTGCTTATTCGGGATTGTCAGAAGCTACTTGCGGAAGAACGATTTATCCAAATACAACACACTTTTCGTGAGGTCGAGAACACTTGTGTAGACAGATTGGCTAATGCGGCACATCAAGCTCTTAAGGGGGTTAAACTACTTAAATATGTTGCAGGACACACATGCTTGGATTAATCGTTTTCTTTGGGAGGATGCTAATTGATTAGAGATTATTAGATTTTAATTCTTCTACTTGAACTTTTGTTTCCAACAAATAAAAAATGAGGTAGATGATTAATAGATGTTTGCACAAACTTCAGTACCAAATGTAGTCTACACCCACTTTTCTTAGAGCATTTTCATGCATGCTCCTCATGTCACGCCCGGACCTACCCGGACACGTCAACAACCCGCCGTATAGTACGATTAGTCAACCGCAGTCCAACTCATCCATACTATAAAAGGCGTCTTGAATACCATTCACACATAGTACATCCATAAACAACCACAATGTAAAACATTCATTTATTACAGTGGAAGCAATTAACGCAAGTGTCTATGCCACACTTCGATAAAACATGGGCATACAAGCCCCCAAATAATTATTCAAAAATAATATCCATGAGCATTATTTAAATTGTTTTCAAAACAGAAACGGAAGAAGCACGAACCGAGTCTTCTTCCCTTGATCTCCCCGAAGCAACGGGTGGTGGTAGCAACCTTCAAGTTCTACCTGAAACTGTGAGGTGGCCTCCCCCGGGAAGGGGAGGTCAGTACTTTGAAACATTTGACAAGTACAATGACAACCATACTAAGTATAATTAACGCTTTAATTTCCAAGACCCTCAAAATAGGGTGTTATCATAATATAAATAATAATTTGTATTTCCCACTTATTATCTTTATAATAAGCAAATTCATTTATTTGTCGGCACACGGCTCTTCTTATATATTCCTTTTTATTTAGAGCACCATGATTGTTGGGGTTGCCAAGGTTTCCCGATGGGAAAACCGTTGGATATGAGCTGGAATCTCCTGTGCTCGATCGTCGAGCGCTGCATTTTCCAATTTAGATAAGATATCAGCTTCGGTATTTTCTATTCTGGATACTTGGTCGAGCACCACCTGTTCAAATTTGTTTATCTGCTCCTCGACTAGCTCTTTGTAAGCCTTCATTCTTTCCTCTTTAGCCTCAGCCGTGCCATTTACCTGATTTACACCCAATTGACTATCCGATCGGACTTTTAACCGATCGGCGCCCAGGGTCTTCGCATATTTTAAACCTGCAATAAGGGTCTCATACTCGTTCTCATTGTTGGTTACTTTGAAGTCAAAATGAATGGAGTAATATGCTTTAAACTCTTCGGGTGATGTTGTAACACCCCCATTTTTCCCGCCCAAAATAATATTTGAAATAATAATATATTGATAACAACCTTGATTTATTCCTTAAAAATAGATAGAGTTTTGCAGCGGAAATAACAATAATGGAAAAAGGGTGTGTTACCGCCACACCCAGCCCTCAACTTGGCTGGATGTTAAGGCTATCCACCATGAGTTCAACCGAATTAAAAACTTAAATTCAAAATTTAACAACATTATTTAAACTAAGTGAAGACTACACTTAAATCTTCTAAAGCGCTCTCAAGACTCGTCAAACATCATGAGCTTCATATTCATCATTACCTGCACAAATAAAGTGCAGAAAACGAAACAAAGAAAAGGAAACAAAAATTAGCTTTAGAGCTAAGTAAGTACTACCCAACCCCGTAAAATAATCAAGTTTGTCAAAAATAGTTTTTCATATAATACTATATATAAAAATACTCACACCACCGAAATTCTTTTCAAAACATTATTTATCAACAATCTCAAATACCCTTATAATTAAGAATAATATTTATAAGCTCCCAACAATTAATTAATATCTCAAAAGAAGTATCACTTTTCAAAAATAACTTTTGTAGCTAAAAATATCACCATTCCGAAATCAATGTCACTTTCAGATTCTTTTAAGACGGGCGAAACTCAAGATTCCTCGAGCCCAATGAATCGTTGTTGCGTACGACTCATCCTGGAATTCCGGCTCCCACCGACCACCAATTGGAAACTGAACTTCACCCTTAAGTGTGCACACCCCCTAAAAGGGATTCCAAGCCCTCCGAGTAGTAAGAAGTCCAAGTAGTTCGGACAACGTCCCCCTACCTCACAATGGGTTAGAAACCCGGGTAATTAGAAACTACTACCGCGGCCACCAAAGAACTTTTAAAGTTCTCAAAAGAAATTCGGGAATCTCCCGCCACCAATATTTACCGGGATTTCTCCCGCCACCAATAATCATCATAAACCTAAACTAAACCCGCGGTATATAGCTCTAACCACCCACACCTCGTGTTTCTCTCGAGATGTCAATAATTATTGAAAAACATTATTCATTGAAAAATCATCTTTCTATATATAGTCCTACAGAATATCTATTTAATAGATACGTCTACCAAAAATTCACATTCATAAATACTCCAAAATTCTTTTACATAAAAATTCACTCCAAAGTCATACTAGGGATTAAATCCCAAAATATATCTCCAATATTTCACAAATTCTTAGTCATCCAAAATAGTACACATTTAAAATTTACACTTAATCACATAATGCATAGTAAGCATATAATACGATGAAACAATTTTGGATTGGCAGAGAAACTTACCTTAAGTCCTGATGCTCCTAGTTATCTTCCTCTAATCCGGTCTCTAGATAATCACCTTTTTAATTAAGATGATAAAATTAGTCACTTATTCTATTTGTAATTACTTTACCCGATTTTCTCCTTTTATTTTATTATTCGAATTTATTAACTTAATTCATTAGTTATCCGAATTATTTGATTACTCACTTTCTATTAATAAAATTTCCTTATTAATTTCTTCCATTAATTTTCAATATTTGAAATAAAATATCCGAATATAATTAACTACTACATCCAATTTTTATTCAATAATCACCATTAATTTTCTCTAATTATTATCTAATTACTTTATTTACATAACCGAAAATATTTATTTTCCTTATTTTATTCAAACATTATTTTTAGTCCAGAATATTTTTTTTCAACCTCAGTGATTTATTTATTTCACCATTAATACTAATATTTCCTTATTTAATTACTTAACTAGTTTTATATGGCCTAATTTAAATAAATAGACTAAGAATCGACTTTATAAATTAATAACCGTCTAAAACTATATTTTGGGTCTATATTTGACCAAGGTTGTCCAGATATATATTTTATAATTATTTTCCATAATTATTCCCTTAATTTCATATATCTATTAACCGGTTTAATTACAATTAAATATACTAAACCTTATTTTTATTAATTATAAATGGTCCATAAGGTCCTAGTTAGTCATGTATTTATCCTAGTTTACTCCAATATTTATTTCATAATTATTTTCGTTATTTAGTTAATTATTTACTAAATGTGTATAAATTGGCCCAATTACAATTAAATCAATTAAAAATAGCTAAAAATATTATTTTCCAATTCTGGTTGGTACGAATATGTATATTTATACTAGGTATTTAATTTATATTTTTCCAGATTTTATTTATTTCATTTACTGTTTTATTTTTAATTTTTATTGCAACTGGGCCGAACTGGCCCAAATTAAATTTTCTGGCCCAACCTGAAAAGGCCCAAATGACAGACCAGCAGATTTCTGGGTTGTCTTCTTTCCCAGGTCGCCGGAAAAACGGGAATTCAAGGGGGGGGGAGGTGTTACCTCGTCGGACGAGCGAAACGGCCGGCTACTGGCTCCGTTTGGGACGGCGAATGTCGGTGGTGGGTTGGCGGCAGCGGCAGCTCCTCCCTCTTCTCCGTTTTCCGTCGAAAAGTTTTTCTCCGGCGAAACTCCGGCGAGGCTTTTCTCCCTCGTTTCACGACCGTTTTCGACGATTCTTTTTCCGTTGGATTCGTATCACGAAGGGGAAGGTTTGAGAAGTATTTTCAGGGCTTGTTTCTGGCTCAAACGGTGGGTCGAAAAAATATATATAATATACGTATATATGTATGTATATTTCGTAGTTTTTTTTTTGGATGAAGAAAACGTAGGTTCTGGCCTATTATTTATAGGGAAAGATGAGGATTTTAGGCTGAGATGTTAGAGTTGGAGTTGGAGTTTAATTTTAATTCTTTTGCACCTTTATGAGTATTAGGAGTATAATTGTTATATAATTATTATTACGTAACTAACATACGTATGTAGGAGTAATTATTATTAGGTAACTAACATACTCCTAATACTAATGTTAGTATTTGAGTATAATTAGTATTACCTAGTTATATATCTATTAGGAATATACGTATGTAGTTAGTTAGGAGTATTATGAGTATTTTAATTATTTAGTTTATACTTTGTATATTATACAACCTAAAATAGTTATATAAAAATTAATTTTATACTAAAACATAACTTCTATTATCGGGCCATTTTTATCTGATTAAAAAGTCGTAAACTTGGAAATTTTTATCTGATTAGAATGTTACAACTGTTGATTTTTTTTTGTCTGACTCAATTAATAATTAAAATTTTATTTTCGTAATATTTTATCTGATTAATAAAAATTATTTTTATTTTTATTTAAATTTTTGAAGTGTCACAGATGTGATCACAGCTCAGGCTCCACAACCCTTGGCACTAGCTGCACCATCCACATACATCTCCCACCAGCTATACAGCACATTGTTCTCTGAATCTATTTCCGAAGGTCGAGCGGTACATTCTGCAATGAAATCCGCCAGGGCCTGCCCTTTGATAGTAGGTCGAGGCCTGAAATCCACCTCATATTGCCCGATCAGGAGACTCCACTTTGTAATGCGCCCACTTGTCATTGAGTTTCTCAAGATGGTGGCGAGTGGCTGAGTAGTATACACAGTTACCGGATGTATTTGGAAATATGGTGCTAGACGTTTAATAACAGCTATCAGGGCCAGTACTGTTTTCTCCAGTAAGGTGTATCTGGTTTCCGGCCCGTTCAAAGCCTTGCTTACAAAATAGATCGGCCGCTGTATGCCATCCTCTTCTTTCAATAATACCGTGCTCACGACCAGGTCAGCTACAACAAGGTACATATACAGGTGTTCCCTTGGATCGGGTTTTGTCAAGACCAGGGGAGAAGATATGTATGCCTTGAAATTTTCAAAGGCCGTTTGACATTCGGCGGTCCATTCAAAGGGGTTGACTTTTTTCATGACCTCGAAGAATAGAATAGCTCTATCGGCTAGCTTGGATAGGAATCTGCTCAGGGCTGCTAATCGACCGGTCAATCTCTGCACCTCCTTGAAGTTTCTAGGTGCTTTCATATCCAAAATTGCCTTTATCTTCTCAGGATTAGGCTCAATCCCCTTTTCGCTCATCATGCATCCCAAAAAATTGCCCCCTCTCAAAGCAAAAGCACATTTTTTGGGAATCGGCCTCATGTTTACTTTTTGCATTATCCCGAACACCTTTTCTATGTCCAGGATATGATTCTCCTTCTTCCGGCTCTTGATCAGGATATCATCAACATAAGCCTCCATTGTGACCCCCAACACCTCTTTGAAGAGCATTCCGATCATCCTTTGAAACGTAGCCATTGCGTTCTTTAACCCGAATGGCATGACAATATAGCAAAACACACCATCCGAAGTAACGAACGTTGTTTTCTCTGCATCGTCTGGGTGCATGAAAATCTGATGATATCCCCGGAATGCATCCATGAAGCTCAACAATTCACACCCGCCCGTTTCATCCACTAACAGATCGATCATCGGCATCGGATAAGGGTCCATGAGATAAGCTTTATTCAGATCCGAGTAATCCACGTACATCCTCCAAGTCGATTGTTTTGGGGCTAGGACCACATTGGATAGCCATTCGACATGGATTACCGGACGGGTGTGTTTTATTCTCAGCAATGTGGCCACTTCCTGCTTTTTGAAATCCCGCCGTTCGGTCGCTTGGTATCGTTTCTTTTGTTGGATCGGTTTTGCGTCAGGCCGAACGGCAAGCTTGTGACAGATTATCTCTAGGCCAATGCCCGACATATCTTCCGGTCCTCGGGCGAATAATACCTGAAACGTTTTTAGGACGGCAATCACGCCATCCCGAATGTCAGCCTCCACATCCACCCTGATAGCTACCTTTCGGTTCGGGGGGGGGGGGGGGGGGGGGAGTCCAGGTCAATTTGCTCGAGGAGAGTAGCAAGTTATGGATGCGCCTCAAACTCCGTTCGGTGGGTCTCCACCTCAATACTGTTAACCCGCGTTCCACGGGTATTCATCTTCTTCAGGGCCTCTCGGTAGCACGTTCGGACTATCGCCGGATCCGTTCAGGCCACTCCAACCCCAGTGTCCGTGGGGAATTTGATGCACGAGTGGCGGACAAAGGCTATTGCCTCCAGATCTTCCAGTCCCGGTCGGACCAAGATGGCGTTATGGGTACATTTTATGTCCACTACCACGAACGTCATTCGGAGTGATGCCTTGTGCGTTTCGTCCCCAATTTCAACTAACAATTGAACGGTCCCCTCAGCCTCAATACATTTACCGGTGAAGCTTGCCAGTGGGGTTCTTAGGCGGGTCAGTTGACTTCTCTGTAGGCCCATTTTCTTGAACGATTGTAAATACAATACGTTCACACTGCTTCCTGTATCGATCAGTGCCCGGCGAATCAAAGCATTGTCAATGCACATGCTCACCACCAATTCATCCCTGTGCGGGCTTGGCGAGTTAGGTAAATCAGCCGGCCCAAATGTGATTGGGTCCGTCCTTCCTTTCTTCTGGGGGGAGTGGAGATGGATCCTACATAAAGACTTCGCTCGAACCTTTTCCGTTCGGCGTTCGAATCCCCTGTTTCCCCGCCCCCAAATATAACTTTGACCTCCATTCGAGGTTGTTTTCCGGGGCCTCCCGAGCCCTCTGGTTCGTCTCTGGGAGGAATATATACGTCATTCTGGGACTGGGCATCACGTTAGGCATCCCGTCGCCAGCTGTTGGGTTTCCTGACCGACTTTAAAGTGCCTACCACATTTGGGTCTTTACTTACGTACTTGCCCAGACGACCCCACCAGATCAAGTCCTCAATGGCCATTTGTAGTGCCCTACAAGCGTTGGTGACGTGACCTTTCCTGTTATGATATTTACAAAAAGCAGACTCGTCTGCTCGCATATAATTTGAAGAATCAGTCAGAAGGGGAATGTTGTCCTTCTCGTTCTAATAAATGGTTGCCACAGACAGGACCAGGGGAGTAAATCGCCCTTGCTTAGGAGGGAGAGCGGCCACTGGGGTAGGACCCAGCCGACCGACCATCTTGATTGGGGCAGAAGGCGCAACGACCTTGTCCCTGATCATAATCTCTTCTTCCAGGGCAGCATGCTTGCAGGCTCTGACTAACACCTCGGCATACGCCGTACCCGGACACTTCTTCAAATCCTTGTATAATTCTCCCGTTCGGAGAGTGTTAGTGAATAGGGTGATGGCGGTGTCATCCGTCATGTTTCCGACCGTCAGAGTTTCGTCCCTCCACCTTTTCAAGAATTGATTGAGGGTCTCCTTGGAGTTCTGCTTTACGCTAGTCAGGTAGCTGAAATGCCGTTTTGGGTTGGCACTGGAGGCAAATTGGGCCAAGAACAACGTTGATAGTTCGGCAAAACTGTTGATCGACCCAGGTTGCAGGGTCCCGAACCATTCTTGAGCGGACCCTCTGAGTGGGATGACGCCGTGGTTATTTCTGTGTGGGGAGTCTCCTCTGTGAAATTGGATCCTCCTTCTTCCTCGTTTGCCATGTGCTGCATGACCTGGGCTATATCTCGCATGGCCTGAGGATTCCTTCTTAGGGCTTCAGGAATGACACAGTCCCCACCATAATGAGGATATGATCCTCGGCTGGATTGTCCCTGAGGGGTTTGGTTTCTCGGAGTTTGACTCCTTCCGTGACGGCGCGAACCATCATTTGTGTGATAAGAACTGATTGTGATCATTTTCAAAAATAGTTGTTTTGGATAATTGAATGTGAAACTTTTTGAATGTTTCTCAGAGATGGCGCAAATGTTGAGGTTATGTCCCGCAGATCCGAAAGCCCAACACGAACTTTGGATATATCAGGAATTGATCGGAATCAAAGTGTATAAGAAAATATAAAAGATGAATCAACTAATACCCAAAAGCCCACTTGTATTAATTAACCTGATTGATTACAAGGAAACTTCCCAATCGGTACGTCGGAACAATGCTTTTAATACAAGAAACAAGAGTAATAATGCTATTCTAGCCACTTGATATTAAACCTTCTATTTATACTGATGGAGAGCATGGACTGTTCTATGCTGATTGGTCGTTGTTCCACCGACTTGATCACCCATGCTTCCACTTGCTGATGTCACAATCTGGCATTAATTGCACCTAGTCACTTGATGGTTGTCCGTTGCTCGAACGGGAAGCTGGACCATACGGAAGACGCTGTCAAATTGGCCCAAGTACGATGTATGATCCGAACTCCGTTCGGTATTTCTGCTTTCTGGGCCGGCTTCTACTTGGACCGAACCTCGTTCGGTATGGATTCTTCACTGAGCCTACTCATCATAGGGTAATGGACTTGTTGTTTGGGCTGGATATCCTGGACCTTTTTAATCCGGGTATTGGGCTTCCGGGTCAATATCCCAACAAATGCTATTCCGTATATTTCAGTGTTAGTTTGAGCAATTTCCTGTAAATATAATTGGTCATAACTTGATTGTACTTCCTAATATCTAATTTTCTTTATTTGACGAAAAATTAAAACTCGAACTGTATGTATATTAGAAACTGGTAGTATATTACTCCCTCCGTCCCGGAAAATTAGTCCCACTTTGACTTGGATCGGAGTTTAAGAAAGTGGGAATAAAGTGGAAATGTATGATTGTGGTTGAGTAAGAAAAAGGTAAATGAATGTTAGCCACACAAAACATTCCAAAAAGGGAAATGAGAACAATTTTTTGAGACGACCCAAAAAGGAAAATGAGACTTATTTTATGGGATCGAGGGAGTACATGATTGGAGAGCCAATTTATGATTCTTATCAGTTTTACCCAATTATTATAAACGTGAAAACATCGTTGGAATTCGAATACCATACATTCATGGGAGGAATGAAGTAATAAAGCAAAATCATATACTACGTGTCTACCTCTGTCCCAATTCATTTTGCAAATGTCAACCTTTTTATCAACTAATAATGAAAGAAATCCTCCCCATAAATAAATAATTCAATTTAATAATTAAAATTTAATTAAAGTCTCTAAAAGTTACAAAATTCAAATTAAAATTTAATTAAAAATTAAAATATTAATTAAATGAATAGAATGGTACACGTTGACAATAAAAGTTAATTTGTAACTCAATTTGGACGGAATCATGGAAATTGGAAGGGGAGATTTACCTAAATAGAACCTAATAAAAGGATAATTGCAACAATAGGAGTTTAATGTTTAAATTCCCAAAATAGGACTAACTCTTTCTATTCTATCCTTTCCTTTGTCCTTCATAATAGTATTTTTTAAACAAATATTATAAAATATAAAAAAAAATAAAAAAAATAAAAAATGTAAAAAATATACAGACCTCAACCACCACCTCAGCCACCTTCCAGCACCACCACCTCTGTTCATCGAAAAAGATTGCCAAATTGGGGAAAAAATGTCATCATGATGGCAATTTTAAGAGAGAAAATTGAATATTTTCAAAGAGTAAAAATTTCATCTTTATGGCATTTTCAAAAAAATGTGGCATTTTTTTACACAAGATGACATTTTTTCCCAGCGACTGGAGCTGGTGGTGCTGGGAGGTAGAGGACGCGTTGGCAGTGACCAACATATTTTTTAATAGTTTTTAGGTATTTTATTTTATATTTTAGACTTTTTAAAGTTTTTTAAATATTTTATTAATTTTTAATATTTTTTTATTTTTATTTTTTCACGTTTTTATTATTAATTTATAAATATTTTTATTATTTTTTATATTGTTATTATAAATAAAAATATGGTTTTCTTATTAATAAAATAAATTTATTGGAAATTATAGGAAGATGATAGAATGAGAAGAAGACACATATATTAATCCTATTTTAGGAATAAAGGAATTGTACTCGTATTGTTGAATTTTGGGCTAATTGTAGTCCTATTAAGGGCTAATTAATACCCAAATTTGAAGGAGTACATACATTAATTGTATTATATTGTCATAATTGATATGGGATTAATTAGTAGCTACTGATCGACCGTCTGGCTTTCATGCAAGTATTGGCCATTCCGCTCACCAACGAAGTTGAAGCGTTTAAAAGAAGAAGCGCACCTCCATCATTAAAAAAATAGCTTCATCCTGTAATGAAAATGGAACCCGTCACGGAAAACGCCATGGCGGCCGTGTCCGCGGCTTTGGATATAGCCACGTTCAACGAAGAGCTTCACCAGTCTTCCTCCTTAGAGGATGACCTTCTTATCGAGCTCACGTGGCTAAAATGGTTCCTCATTGACGGTCAACGGACCCCGGAAGGGCGGCAGCGGGCCGAGATCTGGTCCCCGGCGATCGAGCGCCTGGCACAGCGCGCAGTCACGCTCCAGTCCGGCTGGGTCGACGTTTCTTCCAACCCTTTCGGCATTGCGGATCTCCTAACCAATCTCTCCAATCTGAGAGATAAACTCCAACTGCTTGTCACAAGTGCTTCATCTCCGGCTCCAAAAGATCCAGGTCAGCTTTAGATTGTGATTGTTTGACTTTGACTTCATCACTAGTACTGCCGTACATATATTTAAATGCAGCACTATTATTATTAAAAATAAGTTAGATTCGGTACTAGGTACCGTAATTGTCACCTAAAAATAAGAAAAAATCTACCGGTACCCTCTCTTGTAATCCTATCAGGTTAAGACACGTGGTCACGTTGGCATCCTAGTTTCCCAGCTTTTTCAGGATCCTCATAAGGATCTCTTTTTTTCTTTTTTTTTTGTGGTCTGCCAGGGCCTTTTTTAATGGGAGGGGGTGAACCAAAATTTCAGAAGATGACCAATACTTTTCACCCTCTAATGTAGCTATCTTCCCACCGTAACTCTTCAAGTAGGCTGTTTTCTTGTAAAAAGGATGCACAAAGTCTTCTGCTTTCTTTCTTAAAAAATGCATGATATGGCATGACAACATGGCATGCCGGTGAGATCCCATTTTCTACATGTGCATGTTTGTTTTTTTCCAAATCTACAACCAACTCATCTAGAACATGTCTTACTTGGAATTGTGTCATTGTCGAAGGGGTTGGATAACAATTAATGCTTTCATCTTTTGACTTTTCCAGTTTCTCATCAATCCTAGTACATATTTCATGATCAGTTGTTTCCATCCATTGTCTTTTTACCACTAATCTTTCCATTAAAGCAGTTTGTATATCCTCTAACATGTAAATAATATGTTTAGATCTTGTTTCAATAATGTAACCATTGAAAATTTCTGTCATGTTATTCACAATGACATCACATTTTGTGTGTGTGTTTAGAAAAGCCCTACAGAATGATTTAGGATTTTGAGCTACAAAAGCTTCTGCAGCTGATTTAGATATCTTTCCGAACTTTTCTAAAGCCTCACTATATCCAACTTCATTATATGATCTCACAGCTTCCCAAAAGTAACCTTTTATCTCATCACCTTTAAATTTAGAGTGCCAGTTCTTAAATATATGCCTTGCACAATTTCTATGCTCAGCCAAAGGGAGTACTTTTGACACAGCATTTATGAGACTCTGCAAAATGTATATTACATTTATCTACTTCATTATAAGTTCACACATGCGATTATTTACAAGATAAATTTAAATGAAACATACCTCTTGTTGGTCAGATATTAATGTCCAACCTTCTCCATTTGTTATCTCCAAACAAAACTGTAACTTAGATAAAAACTATTCCCAAGAGTTGTTGTTTTCACCCTCCACGGCTGCCCAAGCTAAGGGAAACATTTGATTGTTCCCATCTCTCCCAACAACAACTAGCAGCATTCCACCCAAAAAAGTCTTTAGAAAGCAGCCATCTAAACAAACTACCCTTCTACAACTACTTAGAAGACCACATCTCAACCCATCAAAGCATACAAACAGCCTTTGAAAAATAAATGGATTTCTGAAGACCTTAGGATCTGTGAATAAGTCAAAGAATGAATTAGGATTTGCCTTCCTCAAAGCCATTAAATAGCTACCAACCTTAGCATAATGGTCCTTCATTGAACCATGTAACATTTTGTTAGCCTCATACTTTATTTTGTAAGCTAATGTTCTCTTGATAACCACTTTCCATTTCTTCTTAACGGCATCAACAATTTGCTTCCCGAGCTAGTGGGGTGTAGCTTTAAAGACTTCCAATAAATTTTTGGCCATCCACTTCGACTTCAGTTGTTTGTTCCTACTCGTGTCTCTAAAACAGTTATGGTTGTTGTTTACAGATTTCACCACAAAACAGTCCTGTTTATAGTCCCAAGAACCATAGAGAGAAAACTTGCAGCCTGGTGCACATTTCACGCCTAATCTTTGGCTCCTGTTTTGATCACTAACATTGTAAGTCAAATTTCTTCCTTGAGCAACTGCATACCTAGTAATAGCCTCTGTAAACTTCTCTGCGTTGCCAAACCTTATCCCTACACACCATTGTAATTTGCTGGAATCAGTAGACTCGTTCACAATTGGTGTCCTGCCTTTCTTCTTCTTCCCTAGAATATCATCTTCTTCACTGTCTCCTGGGGAATCAACTTCACCATCACTGTCTTCATACTCTGAAACACATCCACTAGCTTCTTTATCTAATATCAAGAAATTTTCTTGTTCTCCCGCAGACGTGCCCTCTTCCATATGAACAATAGCTTGTTTGACTTCTTCAATTGTTTTCATATTCCACTTCTCCACTCTATCTCTAGCTTCAGTCCATTCTTCATCACTCGTATCACTTTTTTCTCCATCCAGACCCTCTAAATATGGATGCTCAGGTTCTTCAAAGCCGTCATCCCATCTAGAGTTTTGTTCTCCTTCTGAGTTTTACCCATTCCCTCTTCGTCTTCAGGGAAAAGGGAATGGGTAGGGTATTTGATTGAGGTATTGTACTGATTTTCATCACCCTTATGCACAACATATAAGTCAACCACACCTACTTGCATACCCAATATGCCTATTTCTATCACATCTTTATCACCACTAAGCTTATGCAAACCTGCATTTAACGACTCCCCAGGGACAAGGTAATAAATCTCCTCAATTTCATCATCAATTCCCATCTCTATAGGCAAACTAAACAGCCAACAAAAATCCAATTTATCAGGATCTATATTCATTGAGACTGTTTCCTTCCCCCTACGTATTGTGCTTGGGGTGTTTTGTTTAAATGCCCTCCATAATGATAGTTCAGATTGAACAACTCTATTCCTGCAGAACAGTTGTATAAAGAAGATGAATGTCTTGGTTAAACCCCTACTTAGAATGAAATACCTATTGTATGATTTTTTTGGGGAATTTAAAATCCTAAGTGCATATAGTAAACACTATATTTCCACATGAGAATCTGCCAATACGTAGCTTTAGTTATCAATTACATCAAAAGCAAACACAAACTCAACAACCAATCTTTCTCAAAATGAGAAGTCATAACCAACAAACTCATCCCTATCTTTCGAAGTCAACAACCAATCTTTCGAAGACTCGTTCCTAAAAGAAAAAGGATTAAAATAATAACCTGATAATCCAAAGAATCCCAAGGAGATGTTTCTGGTATGCTACTTCGCCACCAAATACTCGACCCTCTTCAATTTTCTCTTCTTAATGGAGCCTGGTCGGGTAGTTCCAAGATTAACAGCGAAGTGTGGTGTTTAGATGAGAAAAAACAGTCCGGTGAGGAGAGAAAGAGTGCGTGAGGCAGTTGATGAGAGCGGGAGGAAGAAAAATGAAGGGATATTTACTAATATATGACTAAAACATTGACAATTTCAGAATATATGACTACTACTTTTGTACATTCCAAAATATGATTAAATATTAGTTTTATACATACGAAACACTATCATATTGGGAAGAAAAAAGATAGAAGTCATATTTTGGGAAACACATTAAATTTTAGTCATATGTGGGTTAATTTTCTCAAAAATCAAATACTTTGAAGAATAATTGAGCGGGGATGGGGAGACGACATTTGCAGAAGAAAGGGATTGTGTGCGAGGTGGATGAGGATTAAGCGGTATGAAACGGAAACGTTAATTCCATTTCATTTTATCTATTTACTACCTCCTTTCCTAAAAATTCTTCCCGGTTTGACTTGACACGCTTATTAAGAAAGTGAAAATGTATGGTTGTGATTGTGTAAGAAAAAGGTAAAATGAATGTGAGCCACACAAATTGTCCAAAATGGGAAAGGGGAAAGTATTTTTGGGAACAACCCAAAAGGGAAAATGGGAAGTATTTTTGGGAACGGAGGGAGTATGTGGATGTGTTTACCTGTTTGGATTAATTGTATCAATTCATTTAGTTGGGATTATTATTGTAAAACCAGTGAAAGTACGGATTATTGGTGTCAATTTCACCAAAAATAAATTTACATAAAAGGACTCTAAGTTTTTAAGAAGCAATATATGAATATAAAAAACTAAACCATGGGTATTATACATTTTTGAAGTTAATTCATGAAATACTCTCTGTTTCAATAGTGGGTACAGAGTTTATACTGTAATGCACAATATAATTTACTAATTAAAGTGTATTGTAAATTTTGAAACAGGAAATATATTCTTGTTTTGGGCATATATTGTCAGTTTTGGGTATATATTCTTTACGAAAAAGGAAATGATACACATTATAATTTGGAACAATGCTAGCTAAAAGAAGAGTCGGACAATCGTTTTGAAAAGAGGGAGTGATTTTTGTGATTTAATTTTGAGATCGAATGTATGAATATTACGTAGCAATTACTCCCTCCTTCACTTTTAAAGGTTCTGTTCCACTATTTTCCGGACAATGTGCATTGTTCTTAACCTTTTACTCTATGTATCCAACTTTTATCAGATTTAAATTTTCTTGATCATCCTTTGTAGCGATTTTAATGTAGTTTATGAATATGTAAATTTAATTACTAAAAATAATTCTACTAATAACAAGGATCAGTTAACTTTATGGTCAGTCAAACGTCGTAAGCTGCATAACAATATAGCTATATCTTATTCTCAAAATGGCAGTCCGTACGTTTTAATATAATTAGTTCAAACAAAACAACAATTTCTGAGTTTGAGGAAATATCTTGCATTGTGTAATTACACTATTTTTTCATTTTGAGATTTCCCCGCACAATATATATTTAAAGACCATTAGTTGAACTTAGCTAGAAGCCTAGAACTGCTATACATATACATACAGGTTGTTATATTAATTGCTGGAGTAGTTTAATTGAGGTGATACCAAACTGAGTAGAGAATATATATGATAATATGGATTCAGATTTGCCAATTTCTTCCGTGAAAATCCCTAAACAAATAAAAAAGCCTGTTCGTGAGAATGTTAAAGTGGCAGCATGGGGAGGCCCCGGGGGGAAGCAATGGCAGTTCAAGTTTGATGGGACTATGAAGCAGATCACCATTGTTAATGGTGAAGTTATTGATTCTTTGCATTTCACTAGCCTTAAATCGGATGGTTCTTTCAAGACTTTAAAAGTTGGAGGTTGTGGCGGTTATAAAACTAGCAAGGTTATACACTTCTACTCAACCAACTTTAGGTCTTTTGATTTGACTTTGTTTTTGGTGCAGCCAATATGGCAATAAATGGTCTAATAAGTTATGTGTTGGATGATCATGTAGATTAACATTGATGGAACGGTGGAGAAGTTGGTGCAAATAAGTGGCACTTATGGATTTTACACCCACTACGTTGTGATCAGATCCATCACATTTCGAACCACCTTGAATACTTATGGACCGTACGGTTCGAGTCGTGGTGCACCATTCAGTAGTGCAATGCACAGGGGAGGAAAGATTGTAGGGCTACATGGACGAGCTGGTCAGTTCGTCGATGCCATTGGTGTATTTTATCGTCTTTAATCGGTGTAACGTCCTCGTATTTTCTTTTTGAAAACTCTTTTATCTTTCTATTGTGGGTATGGGGGTTCAACCATCTCGTTCATGTTTGCTGAAATTTTATGGACTTAAATATGCTTATGTATTTAAAATAAGCAATCTAATGATTTATATGTAGCCGCAATGGGCCAATGGCTCTATACGAAAAGATGCAGTTGAAACTACAACGATCATATAATGTGAATGTCAACTGAAAAGATGTAGTTAAGTAGCCAATCACACAAGAGTCGTGGTCAAAATTGCGATTAAGTATGTAGTTAAGTAGACTGATTTAATTTCTTAACTATGTACCAAGTAAAATATTAAGTATTGACTATCGACTATCTTTTGAATTCCACAAAAATGGTCTTAATATAATATGATGTGTAAGTTGCAAGATATGGTAGTCAAGAGCCACTTCAGAAGCACTTCGATGAAGTTAAGTTTTCCTTAATTTGAATGTTGTTTATACACAGCGATGGATCCATGATTTCTGGTCAAGGGGGCGAAATGTTTTCATGAGTGTAGGGTGTGAAATTTTTTCGGTAGAATAGTGCGGAGATTTTTTTCTTGCTAGTGTAGCGGGATGGATTTTTTGCTAGTATAGGACTCTGCGGCAATTTTTTATTCAAATTTTTTTATTAATACATACACGACCACATTTAAAACTATTACATTCTAAATCTATCTGTATACAAAGCGGAGTAGATTTTTTGAGAAATTTCCCGCCCAATTTTTTGGGTCAAATGTGGGTCGGGCAAAAAAAAAGGTCAAGCTACTTCACTGCACAAAAGTTGTATTACACGTGATGATGTGACGATGTGATGTTAGATGAAGAGATCTTTATGGATATATTTGCGAAGCATTAAATGCGTTAGTCTATATTGAAATAGCATCTCACGTAATTCTTCAAAGATTCATTATAAAGTCTGAAAAATTGTACGTAGGTTGGAGTATTAATTATTACGTCAAGTTGATGTTGCGTGAAAAATTAGAATTATAAAATTTGTGTGGTTGAAGTTTGTGAAGAGGAGAGAGAAATGAACAGAGCTACAAAAACATTGTTTTAAAAAGAAAAGTGACACTATTTTTTGGTACAAACAAAAAAGGAAGTTAACAGGGTCCAGGAAGGGAGTAACGTGTTTGACCTAGCTGTTGTTGCTAGGTTTTACTCCCTCCGTCCCAATTTGATTTGCAAAAATTCATTTTTTGTTTGTTCGAAAATGATTTTTCACTTTATATTTTAGGTATGTAAATAAGAATAAAGTGACAAATTTAACCTTACTTTTACTTTTCTCTCATTAACTTATAGACATCTACTTTTAGAAAGATGGGCAAAAGTGTAAAAAGCAAGTATCATTTTTTGTCATTTCTTCACCTTACTTTCTCGATTTTCACCATTTGAGATTTACTTTTGCTCCTCTTTGGATTTGTTGTACAATGTATTATTGTACGATAGTATTAGCCAAGCACACGCCGTGTTTCTTATGGCATGCTATTATTTGTTGGTTAATAGACATAATAATACAGAGTACATATCATCAGTACACAATATTGGTCTAATCTATATACGATAGTATTATAAATAGACTTGAATCTCATACGATGTACTTTTTCCGGTCCTAAATAAATTTCACACTTTTCTTTTTGGACCGGTCCAAATTAAAGTTCACACTTCATCTTCCTTCTTTATTTGGCAAATTATTTACATCAAAACAATGCAAAACAATGTCAAACAGTGCCAAACAGTGTCACAACAGTGTATTCTACAGTAAAATCAAATTTATTTCCTTAATTTGTGTGAAGTAAAACATTAAACTTTATTTAGGACGGCAGGGAGTATTCCCTAGCACATCACCACAAATTGATGGCAAGGGCTTTGATGGTACGGCTGGGAAAGGCATATGAGATTCCACCCCAATTCAAAGGACACATAATGGAGACTGTGTTCCTTAATCCAGAGGTAAATTAAATTTGATGTGCTTTATTAGATAAAACTTTAAACATGAAAACCAAAGCAAAATAAGTTTGTAGCGAGTTTGACTGGCGAAATTAGTGGATAATGGATTATGTTATCGAGTTGTCAATATCGAATTCAGTTAGTGAATTCGACTGACGAAATAAATTGCCGGGTTCCAAAAATATGTTTGGTAATTTAACTGTTTGGCTATAAAAATTAGTAGAAAATATCATATTTCATAACACTAATTCAAAATATTCCTATTTGCAATGTTTACATTTAAGACTATTTCCTAATAATGTTAGGAAATATTCCTATTTGCAATGTTTACAATAGAGCAGTGATTCCAGAATCTTACTCTCTTTTGTATATAAATAGAAGATAGATGTATAGTTTTAATTTATGATTAATGATAATGATATTTCCTAATAATGTTTATTAGCTTTATTTGGAATCACTGCTCTTTATAATGTACGAGTATCTTCCAAAATGTTCGAATTACAACATCTATTAAAACCATTACAAGCTCATTGTAATACTTCGTATTTGTTTATTTTTATTCCAAAACATAATTAACCCCAATTTCAATTATGTTTCTTTTCCTTAATTTTGACTTTTACATTATTATTACATTTATGTATTTTTTAAAGATTCACGCATTAATTATGATGAAACTAAATCCACCGGAAAATAATTAATAGATAGCCGAAAATAATTAAAGTACTCAGAATAATACTTAGAGAGATAATTGTATGTATTGTATTCAAATGTATTCAGCCTCCTTAACTTTCCCAAGATTACATGATTTTATAGTAGAAAATAAGACATAAAAGATTTGGGTGACGTGGTCGCCATGTTCGAATTGATACGCAAATCAATAATCCGGATCCGCGGAATCCTTTGTTGATTGGGTGAATATCTTGAAAAGACGTCGTTGATGTAGTTTGTCGTACGGAGTCACCATGTAGCTTTTGCCATGATGTCCAGAGACGCCATGTATAGATCATTTGGATAAGCCTCTACTACTATGTCCAGAGTCACCGTGGACACTTCTGTATATAAGCTCGCCATGGCATCCAAGGCTACAGTGCACTCTGGTCTTCTACTTGCGTCCATGGTTGCTGTGGACGTGCTCTTTGGATAAGCGTCTATGACATCCACGGTTACCCTGTACTCTCGGGTCTTCTACTAACTTCCGTCCATAGTCGCCATGTACAATCTTTTATCTTATAACTCGCGCGTGGTCACCGCGTGTGAGCTCCCCTTATACTTTATCATCATTCGTACATAGTTACCGTGCACATCAACTTTTAACCCACTTATTTATGGTTGGGATAATTATACCATCACAAGCCCCCCACTTCCTAAGCCAAAGTAGCATATTGGCTATAGGGAGTATAGAGACACCGTTGCCGTGGCTATAGAAGTACATGGTCACCATGTCATTTTTTTTTACCCCTTCAATCATTTAAATTTCTATTTTGTAACCATAGTGTGCTCCATGACTTAAATTACTTTCACCCAATCTTCCAGATAGAACTGCAGGTCACAACCAGTTTCCAGGCCACGGCTCGCCGCCAACCACTGGTCGGTCAACGACGCACGCCGCCACCGGTGTCCAACCACACGACCAAGCCACATGCGGTGGAAGTTCTCGCCCGCCGTCGTACTCCATCTGCCTCAGCCGGACGCTGCGAGTAAAAGAGCACCCCATCTACACCGGCGCACTCCGGTGACCTCAGGGACTGTTCGCCGCCATCCGTCACCCTCGCCGTCTCCGTCTTCCACCTGTTTCGCCCTGTCTCATTCGCCATTACCGTGTAATTTGGGCTGTGAGTACTCCAGCGCGAAGCAAACCATCGCCCTCGCAGGACATCGACGCCCTCCGGTGACAACCAGGACTGCTCGCCGCCGCTGCCCACCACTTGCGCCGTCGTCCCCTTGCTCTGGCCGTCCATCCCGATACGGCCATCGTCTTTGTCTGCTCTGGACTCTGCACCGCGGCTGCTAGGTCACGCACACAGGTGAGCGTCAATCTCCCCTTTGTTTTCTTTTATTTCTATTTTGATTTGATTCCCCTTTCCCCAAATAAGCAAAGTCATTATGTATTGATATTATTTTGACCTTGCTTTGACCGTAGCTGCCTTGGCAACATTCTTGACATTTTTTTTTTCTTTTTTCAATAATAATATTTTTTTTTGTGAATAGCTGCCATCAACTCATGGACTTATTAAATTCCATAAATTCTGATGAATTGATGAGTGATGACGGTGAATTAGTGCTAGAGAATTTTCCTCATCCCTCGATAGATGTTAATTCCGATGTTGAAGAAATTAGTCTCGTAAAGCCACGAGACGCTCCAGTCAAACCACCAAAACGTCGCAACCGGGGCCCGTACCCATCCTTAGACCCGAGCCCCATTATGTACTACAGGTCGCGCCTCTCAGTTTCTAAGTTCCAAAAGTATAAGAATTTTTTTCCGTCCACAGTGACTGTCCGATGTCCAAATTCGGAGGATATCGTAACCGATCCTCCCAGGGGTCACTTTTTCGGGGTGCACATTCTTTCCATAAAATTAGGGTTTCGCTTCCCCACACACCCTTTGATCATCGAGTTTTTAAATGACCTTGAAATTTCACCTTGTCACCTGACTCCGCTTGGTCATCAGTATCTGGTAGCTTTTTTGGTCCGGTGTAAAACACTTGGGATTGAACCGTCCCTAGACCTCTTCAAAGATATGTTCCGAGTTGGGCCGTGCTCAGCATCTGATAGTCTATCCTGGGTGTCTATCTCACAGCGGAACCACTTTGACATGTGGAAGGTCACTCGCAGCAACGAAGCTAATTGGAAAGAAGAATTTGTATACGTGTCATCTAGATCCCCGTTACCTTTTTCATCGTCTTTGAATTGTCGATTTAAGAAGTATTCGTACCCGAAACTTCTGTCTGGCCAGGAGACATGGCCGGCTATGATTCTTTCTGGAGGACCATATAGCCTCTCTGCTCTTACTTCCGAGGACCGCCTTAACACGGTTGGGCTCTATTCGCCGTCACCATGTTCGAGTGCACACGCATCCACGTTCACGGATCAAGGTTGTCCACAGTTACCTTGTCTATAGAAGATAACACATGCATATATATTAACTAACACACATGCATACCTTCCCTTTTTTTCTTTGCAGATATGATGTCGAGGTTGGAGATGTTCCAAAGTTTCGACAAGGATGGACCTCGCAGTGGTGACCAGGGGTGCGCCGACAAGAAACCAAGGGCTCCCTCCGTCACAAAAGGCAAAGACGCTATCGTAACCGTGCCTTCATCCGTGACGAAACGCAAGGCTCCTAGTACCGCAGCCCGCATCGCTCGGAGCGTGGGTGACATTCCCACTACAGGGATGACTACCTGATTACGAGGTAACATCGAGTTGCCCCCGCTCTTATCACAGACAATTCCGGCGACTGAGAAGGAACAAATTTCAGCACTTGACAACGTCGCTCTAGAGAGGAAGAGTCACCATGGTCTGGCAGAGGTAACATTCCTATTTCCCCGTCACTTTTCATCTATGCATCTCGTGATGCTATTTTTTTTGTAGCTTCTGACATCCATCTCCGAGGTGAACCGAAGAAAAGACGAGCGCGAGCAAGAATTGCTGCTACAACTTACCAAATTAGCAAAAGAGGTGGCCTCGCTCAAGCTTAGTCATGACTCACATGCAGCAGAGGTCGCGACGCTTAAAGACATGCACGTCGTGGAGTTGGCGAGTGCGAGGGGTCATTCCGTGGATGCATACAAGAGTTCTTCAGAGTTCGTGTCTGATCGGGAAGCTTACATCAATGCCCACCTTGGTAACATTAGCAAGCGTTGGTTGTCTACTCCAGATGGCTGTGAGAAACTCGCCTTAGAGAGCTACATCTCCTACCAGGTCGGGATATATGCCACTCAACAGAAAATATATCCTGTCTTAAGGGATAAGGCTGGTACCTCTTGCATCAACGATTGGGGACTTCCTCCTGAGGTTCCCAATCCCGAGATCTCGGTGGCTGATTCCCTTCGGAAGGACATTCCTTTTTCCAGATCGCCTACTGATGAGGAGCTTGGTGACCCCCCCTCCGATAAAGTTAAAGGGGTTCATGTGTCATTCACCTTGGATCACCCCAGCTTCGATCGCTTCCGTGCCTTAGAGCGTCCACGGGACTGAAGGATGGGCGTAGTGTAGACCTCAATTCCGACATGTCTTTCCTTATGAGTACTTGACTTGCTAAACCCGTTTTGAATTTTATAAACTAACAATGACGCATGTCTTACTTCCCCTTTGTTATTGTTTAGTATTGTCGCATAATTAATTAATTGACCAATATTTTGATTTTACGAGACCAGGCTGCGGCCATGCCTTGTCTGACATGGTTTGCCTGATCACTTATAATAGCATACGGCGATACTACATCAAGTGTATAACTTTGGTGCATTTATCGTCCCATATTTGCCTAACTCTGAGTCGAGGCATTGTGTATTCATATAGAGTAACTGAGGACAACGATAGGCACAAGGTGTCGTAGACACCTCCTCCTTCGTTACATTGCGCGCATCACTTAGCTCCAAAAGCAAGACTAAGTGAGCGAACCTAACACCCGAATGGTCTAGGCTTGCTCTGGGCACACAACGCTTCTTGGGAAACATGGCCGTTATCCGATAAATTTCACAGATGCATCCTGACCATACAACCCTGAGGGTTACGCATTTGTTGGGATTGATTTGCGATGTACCCTCATTCCATTTGTAGGGGCAAGTTTATACCCTTTGTGTGTCGAGAGTTGTAGCTATGTCACAGAAGACATGCCTCGCTACTTCTTACTTCATTTTCTTTTGTGTGAGTTTTACACCCGCGGTGTCTTTGTACACACCTTGCAATTTGCTTTTGTTTTTTGGGTGAGTTTGACACCCACGGTGCCCTTGAACGACACCATACCCTTTTTTTTGACAACGAGGGGCTGGCATTATTCACTTTGTGTGGATCAAGGAGACCTCTTATTTAAAATAGTGGATAGAAAGGGACTGTGTTTGCCACCATACGTGGTTACCATACATCATAATCATCAGGTGGAGTATCAATGATAGATTTTCAATGGTAAAATTTGAGTAAGTGTTCTGCATTCCAAGTCCTTTCAATTTCTTTTCCCTTCAGTGTCGTGAGTTTGAACGTTCCTGGACGGATCACCGATTTAATCACGTAAGGGCCTTCATAATTTTTGGCAAATTTCCCCCCTTCCAAGGGTTTGCTGACCTCCCTTTTTCTCAAGACATAGTCCCCAACTTCAAAGTTGCGTTTGCGAACTCGAGAGTCATGGTATCCCTTCACCTGTCTTCTATAGTTCTCCGCACGGCAGAAAGCCGCTTCTCTTCTTTCTTCAATAAAAAGAAGCTCAGTCGCCATGACCTCCTCATTCGTCTCGGGGTTATATTCCTCTTCTCGGCGGCTATGGAGAATTACTTCTGCTGGCGCCCTCGCCTCGAAACCGTATGTCAAGGCGAATGGTGTCTCCCCCGTGGCCTTTCTTGGCGTGGTCCTGTCCGCCCAGAGTATCTGTGGTAGTTCTTCAGCCCACTCCCCTCCGGCGGCGTCTAGCTTTTTCTTCAAACCGTCCATGATCGTGTGGTTTGCATTCTCCACTTGACCATTCGCCTGGGGATAGGCAACAGACGCATTGCTGTGTTTGATCCCCCAACTCTCACAGAATTCGTTAAACCCGGATGCTCCGAATTGCCTTCCATTATCGGTTATGATCTGTTGGGGTACTCCAAAGCGACAAAGGATGTGCTTCATGACAAATTTCCTGCATTGTCCTTCAGTGATGCTCGCCAGGGGTACTGCTTCTATCCATTTAGTAAAATAGTCTATGGCAACAATAACCCATCTCACGCTCCCTGTTCCTCTTGGCAAGGCACCAATGAGATCTATTCCCCACCTTGCAAAAGGTATAGCCGTGCTGATGGGGGTGTAATTGGTGGCTGGACGTCCCGGAGATTTCTGGAACTCTTGACACACCACACACTTCTTGACAAATTCAGCGCAATCCTTAACTATGGTTGGCCAGAAGAAACCTTGCATGATTACCTTTTGAGACATGGTGTGTGCCCCTTGGTGAACTGAGCATATCCCTGCGTGTATCTCTTCCATGGCTACCTTGGCTTCATTCGGTCGTAAGCACTTGAGAAGTGTGCCATTGTAAGACCTCTTGTACAGTTTCTCATTCAAAATGGTATAACTCGGCGCCCTCATCTTAGTCACCTTGGCTTCAACCTCCTCCGCGGGCAGCACTCCCTCACGAATATATTTGACGAGGTAGTCCATCCAGTCCTCGTTTCTAGCAATTATGGTGTGCACCGGGCATGCATATATGCTTGAAGTGTCTAGTTCTTCCACTCTTGCAATATTTGAGATCCTCTCAAGGGTCTCTGCGCTGAGTTTGGACAGCATGTCGGCCTCAACGTTCTGTCCCCTCGGAATTTGTTCAATCTCGTAAGCTATGAACAATTTTAAGAGCTCCAATGCAGCATCGCGGTACTGCCTCATGCGTTCTTCCTTTGCCTCAAATTCGCTTGTGATTTGTCCCACAACTAGCTTTGAATCACATCGGATCTTGACCTTCTCCGCCCGCATGTTCGACGCTAAGCGCAAACCACATAACAGAGCTTCATACTCCGCTTCATTATTAGATACTTTAAAATTGAACCGGATGGCATAGTAGGCCCTAAAGCCTTCGGGCGTGGTGAGGACCACTCCCCCGCCACAAGATTTGGCCGCTGATGAGCCATCCGTGGACAATATCCACCATTCGGAATCATGGTCTCCATGCCTCGTCTTCGCCGCTTCCTCACGTGCTATGCATTCCACAATGAAATCCGCAAGAGCTTGTCCTTTGACTGAAGGGCGAGGCTTCACTTCTATGTGAAATTGACTAAGGTATACTGCCCATTTGACCATCCTTGATGATGTTGTGGGACTCCTCATCAGCGCGCCTAGAGGTTGGTGTGACAAAATATGGACAGGGTGAGCTTGGAAGTATTGTGTTAGTCGTTTGACTGTCCACACCACCGACAAGACAGTTTTCTCTACGGTAGTGTACCGTAGCTCAGCATCCCTCAAGGTTTTGCTGACATAGTAAACAGGTCTCTGAGCACCGCCCTCCTCACGCACCAAGACAGAGCTTATTGCACTCGGGGAGACCCCCAGGTACACGTAAAGGGTCTCCCCCGTCTCTGATTTAGATAACACCGGAGGAGATAAGAGATATTGCTTCAAGCCTTCGAACGAAGTCTGACACTCCTCAGTCCATATGAAACCCTTTGACTTCTTCATGATGTGGAAGAACGGTGTGGCCTTCTCAGCTAGTTTCGATAAGAAACGGTTTAGTGCTGCTAAGCGCCCTGTTAATCGCTGGACCTCTTTAACATTACGGGGAGGCTCCATGTCTAGAATGGCCTTAACCTTCTCTGGATTTGGCTCAATTCCTCTCCAGCTCACCAAGTATCCTAGAAACTTCCCGCCTTGCACCGCAAAAGTGCATTTCTTCGGATTGAGGCGTAGATTAAATTTCTCCATGATTTTGAATACCTTTGCCAAATCCATAGCATGCGTGCTCGATTTTTTACTCTTCACGATCATATCATCCACGTAGGCTTCCATGGTGCGACCTAGGACAGGTCTGAAGAGCTTGGAGATCATGCGAGTGTACGTTGCTCCAGAGTTTTTTAGTCCAAACGCCATGACCAAGTAACAAAAAACGCCCTCTGGAGTCATGAACGAGGTCTTCTCTACATCCTCCTCATGCATGCGAATCTGGTGGTATCCACTGAAGGCATCCATAAAACTCATCAGCTCACACCCCGCTGTTTCGTCCACCAACTGGTCGATGTTAGGCAATGAGAATGGATCCATCGGGCATGCCTTGTTGAGATCTGTGTAATCAACACACATCCTCCATGTTGGGGGTTTAGGTGCCAATACCACGTTTGCTAACCATTCTGGGCATTTAACCTCCCTGATATGTCTGATCTTTAACAAGGTGCCCACTTCTTTCCTTACAAACTCCCGCCTGTCCGAGGACATGTAACACTTCTTTTGCTTCACTGGTTTTGACGTGGCATTCACGTCCAGGCGATGAGAGATGACGTCCCTACTGATGCCTGTCATGTCTTCTGGTCCTCTTGCAAACACACCTTGGTACATGGTCAGGACAACTATGATTTCAGCGCGGAGCTCAGTCCCCAATCCGGTTCCTATCTTAATCTTCCGCTTTTGTGTTTCGGGGTCAAGGGTGATTTCCTCCGTCCCTTCTGTGGGTTCAGCACGGGGTCTCCGCTCTTCATCTTGTAGGTATTGTGTGGCGACAGTGTTCACCTGGTGGCCATGCCGCCCCACCTTCTTAGTGATTTTTATGTAACATGTTCGGGCGAGCTTCTGGCTTCCGCGTGCTATCTCCACTCCGGTTGGTGTTGGGAACTTAATTCAAAGATGTGTCAGGGACACTATGCACTGCAAATCTTCCAGTCCTGGTCGTCCGAGTATAAGATTATGTGCACATGCCAATCGGACCACTACAAACTCCATGTTAAGTTTCACTTTATGGGATGTGTCCCCTACCTCCACCGGGACTGTGACGACTCCTTCTGCCTCGATAGAGTCACCCGTGAACCCTGACAATGGGGTTTTTATCGGATGGAGTTTTCCTTTGGACAACTTCAGTTTCTCGAAAGTATCAAGGTACATTATGTTCACAGAACTTTCCGTGTCGACCAGGGTACGATGTATGACAAGATCATTGATCTCCATTTTGATAACCATGGCATCCCGATGCGGGCTTGGACACGGCGGTAGGTCATCATCAGTAAAATATATAGGTTCACGTCGTACCTTCTTTTTCATTGGAGAGTGCATGATCTCACCAATGTAGAGTTGACGAGCCCATTTCTTTCGAAGGGACGATGAGTCCCCGCCTGCATTACCTCCATAAATGAAATTGATGCCATGATGCCTCTTGTTCCGCTTCTGCCCCGGTTCATCTGAAGCCTCCTCGTCACTCTCATTTCCAATGTGTCTTTTCTCTGCCATGCGTGTTTCCTGATGCGTGCACGCCACTTGTTCTGAAGGCTTCCTCCACACCTGGTTGGGTTGCTGCGTAGCCCCCTTGACGAAATTATTTAAATGACCCCTTTGGATCAGTCTTTCAATCTCCCGTTTCAAGGTAAAACACTCCTCCGTGTCATGATTATCAACCCGATGATAACGACAATACCTTTTAGCACCAGAGACA